AAATGCTAGGCCATCTACTCATAAGCTTGTATCAGGAGTATCTCCCCACTTGGCACTCGTATCCAACCTGCAGGCATCTTTCTTTAGAAGGTGCATAGCTGCTAGTTGCAATTGGGAACATTTCACTTGAAGTTAGCTGTAACACTCTTCCAAGCATGCAAATAAAGATAGGACAATCCAAGTGGTTAGGTCTCCCAGCCTTGGACCCGAGGAGCTGATAGTTGACTATCAGGTAACAGTGTACTTAGAATAATATGCAAATACCTTAGCTCACCCTCCTCCAGATTCACATGCCAAGATCTAGATCACTGCTAAGAGGTTACACAGAAGGCTAGTAGACAGTTTGCTGCATGCAGTGGATGGGATAAGCACCATTATCTGTCTTGCCCCAGCCCTGCTCCTTTTTATTTGTAGTTATTACTGCAACAGGCTTTTTTTTTTCTTTTTTCAGACAATGGTAGTGTTATTATAGGTACCTTCATGCCGTGCCAAAGCACATACACAGCAATTCAGAACAATCAGCCTTGTTTTCATGGGAGCAAAGGTTGCAGCCAAATGAAATGGGTGGAGATCACATTAAACAATCTTGGAATCTGCTAATAGGATATAGGAAAATGTGACCATAATGCAGATGTAGAGCTCCCCTTTCACCTTCAAATGTTATGGATAAAAGAAAAGCTTTGGAAAACAAATGAAGCCATTTGAGCAGTATGAACTAAGCAGAAGTGTTTTCACTACAGACACAAGATAGCGATGAGTTCCCCGAGGCACACTGAAAAAGGTCTGAAACTAGAGCAAGTTCTCACCCGAGACCGAACACTCAGCTTAAAAAGATAAAAGATACCTGCAGGATGCCAGCTTTTCCACTCTATGAGAAGATCTCCAAGCAGCGTGTTCTTACCTTAAGATGTGACCAGACTCACATTTGCCTTTTTAAGCGGGGAATTTTCCTACTGAAGCATCCCGCTCGGTCAGCTGTACCCTGCATTCCCGCCCCCCCCTTGCTTGCTTTTCAGATGTGCATTAGTCAGCTTTCTCCCTCACAAACCAGATTCTGCCTCTGCATGATCGTGCATTGAAGTCATGTCCTTGAGTCTCTGACATCAGTCTGTTGCCATGGTAATGTTAGGGGCTGTCCAAAATTCAGTATTATGGCATCACTGCAGGATCAAGCAGCAGAGCAGGCTAATATCTGAAAGCTATGAAGGCCAGCACGAACAGTTAAGAGACCTTCGGTTCAACATTACCGATACATTTAACCGATTGTAGGATGCAGCTGTGCATCATGGCAAAAAATACTGCCAAAAGCCTCTGGTCTAAACACCCAACACCAGATTAATGAGCTTCCGAAACATCATCCAAGTTAACAGCATATCCCAGCCTACCAAGCAGGTCCTGTGCCTGCAGGGAGCTCCACATCTATCCTTGATTCCCTAGCTAGTTATCGTAGATAGAAACTGGGCACACCGAGCTCCACGGGGTCACACGACATGGATGCTGCATATGGCAGGTCCATCAGAAACACAGGGTATCTGCAGCTGGATCTCAAGAGTTTGAGTAGAGAAAGGGGGTGGGAGGGGAGAAGGAAAAGGAACCGGGCAGTAGGGACCTGTGCAGTGGTAAGCAGTTCCTATGACAAGTAGCATATCAGTTAAAAAGGTACCTTAGAAGAGCTGTTCCTCCATGCAGGCTTAGACATTACAGTACTCTACGATTCTTGCAGGCTCACGAGAATGACATTTCTGAAGAGCAAAAGAGAGGGGGTGTTAGTTGCCACCAGCAATTAGCGTCATCTTTCAACTCAAGAACTACCTATTAAATGCAGAGAAGAGAACGCAGAGCTGGGAACAAACCAGGAGTGCCCCATTGTGTAGGGCACGTACGAACAGTCAAGTTCAGTCCAAAGGTGCACAAGCACCACCTCATTAAGATGCGATTTAAACCCACAGGGAAGAAATCTTGGCAGCTGCGAGACCGAGGTAGAGCCCACACCCCATCTGCCCGGTACTGTACATATACCTTCCGTTATTATAGTAATTCCTGTTAGATACCCACAATGCATGTCAGGGGGATTCTTCCCCTCTGTGATCCACATATGATGCTTTATAAAAGCCTCACAACTTGAAGCACCTCCTTCATGCAGGCCTGCTATCAACTGCCTCTTGCAGATGACTTGCAAGCCCCAGTGTAAGGGCTGTGCTGAGCCAGAGCTGATGTAGGGTACAGACTTAGGGACATCAGGGACAGGGCAGATCACCAGAAGCCTAAGCCACCTTCGTACCCTCAGCTAGCTCAAGTGCAACCCTCCTCCCTTCCTCTGGGCTCTATCTCCAGAAGGTGTAGCAGAGAGGCTTCCTCCATTCATACCCTCACTAAGGGCTGCACCAAGGTTGACTGTTAGTGCTCATGGAGAGCTTCAAGGTGGACCTCTCTGAGGACTGGCCAAGTATCTTAGGGCCCTGCCAAAAAGCAAAGCTCATGGATCAGCCGTGAAGGTCCTTCAAGAGCTGTGTCTGGGGCAAGAAGCATATTATAGATTCCCTGCGATGGCCATGTCTAGAGGAAAGACAAGCTGGCAGTGCTTCCATTCAGTACATGCTTTCCTTGCTTGCCCCTCTATCAAAATATATACCTTTCTTGGACCCACATGCCAGCTTCCAGGAACTTCTCTGCCCTGTTCGTTACTCATAGTGAAAACCCTACCCAGCATCACCCCTGCCCCATTTGCCTCTATGGTCACCCCGTCCCAAGCCCCTGCTCATGCCTTATCAGTTACAGCTCACCTTGTGGCTCCCCTGCTATCTTTCCATAGGCACCTCCATGGACTTCTCCTATAGCCCCCGAACTTCAGGACTGGCAGGGGATGTTGAGAGCAAGCTGATCTCCATTCTCACCATCCCCCTGGACACCTCCCTAGGAGCATGAACAAGCTACAGGCATAAACAGACATCTCCTGATCTCTCGCCAACACAACCCTCCCCCAGGCCCTCCATCAGCATACCGCACTGTATTTTCCAATCTGGAACAGAAGCCTCAGGGCAAGAAACCATCTTTTTCTTTAAGGACTGAGCTTGATTCAGCTCAGGATTATACCTGTTTCCTAACAACTAGATCAAGTGCCATCATTAACCAACTCCCTCCTGATCCCTCTAGCCATTATCCATCATTGATGGATGCAGCGGCAGATCACAGGGAACCCAATTATTGACAGAGTACGCATGTGTTCATGTGTGCACACGCACACCTCTCTTCTTCTGCAGATGCAGTCACACAGATAGAGAGAAAAGCCCTGTATCTCCTGCCTCAAAAACAGAGTCTCAATTGCTTCCCCCTCTTCAAAATGTAACAGCACTTTCTGCCCTTTCCACTCTGCTGATAAACTCAGCTGCTTCCCACCCAACCGTCAAAGCCTTCACTGTACACATCCTCTGACATCTCTCAACACAGTAGTGTCATCTTGTATCCAGAAGCCTTTCACACAATGGGAGCCAAAAATTTGGGGAGTGGCCACAAAATTCAACATCCAAAAGAAAACCAAGTTCACACCATACAACACATCTCTGCTGCGTAACGCAAGCTGAACAAGCCACAAAACAAGGGCAGCATCTTAAAACACTGCCTCGTGTTATAAGATGATGCAGGGGAAGAGGAACAGCAATTTTAAGCACATACCAGATGCCACTGCCAGCACAGAGGACTCCATCCAGACTTTGCAAGAAGAGAGGTCATTTCACATCTAAAATGTTAATATACTACATTTGGATCTCCTGGACCCTCAGCTCTCCAAGCCAGCATTAAGTTTTGCCCTACAAAAAGCTCAGGTACCAGCCAAATTAGGTGGAAGATGCACCAAAGAGACAAGTAACAAGGCAGTGGGCTTAGGGGTGCAAAAGCATTCTTCAACAGGCCCATCACAGCCCCGAGGCATTTTTAATACTGGGAGCCATGCTATGCGTCACATACTTCTAGTTATGAGCCCTGCAAGGAAGTAACAGCCTGTCTGACAGAGGGACAGAGAGGAGATCCAGGGCCTGGGGAGGCTCTCTCTAAGAGGCCTGAAAGACAGGCACCTGCAAGGAAGAACTGGTTGAGGGGGAGGAAAAAAAAAAAAAAAAAAAACACCACACACAAAACACAGGTATTTTGAGCTGCAAAGGCTAGACTAAACCTGACATGGGTGGAAAGTCTGTTTTCAGCTAAGTCTGGGTAAAGAGAAAAATCCCAAGAGAAGTGGAGCTTTGCTGCTGCTCAGAGCATAATTTCACCTTCACTCAGCTGGCAGTTCAGCCCATGGCCAGACTGGTAGTACTGCAGAAGTACCACCGCTCAGCAAGGGAGGTAGCCACTTGCTACCTGCCTGGAGGAGATGTACCCAGTCTGAGACTCCTTCAGGACTATGCAGAAGACATCAGCCAAGAGCATCCCTCTCCATTCAGTGGCAACCTTGTCCTCTAGAGCAGCGTTTCTCAACCTGTGGGTCACAAGAATACATGGAAGGATTGAAAACCAAGTTTAAAGTTTGTTGATCCATTTATGAAAGTGGATTCTCCTTTAGAACTGAAAAAATATGGGAAACTGTTTTTTTCCCCCCTTGCAGGCTGCCAGAGCTCCATCCTGCAAGAGGCCATTCGGAGCTCCTTGGGCCCCACACACGCCCCCCCCC